AATACAAGTTGGAGACAAAGCTGTTGTCCTAACAACTGAAGGATTATTGGGATAGTACTTTGGCTTTATTTCAAAAACTAAACTTAGAGAAAAAAAAGCCAGGCAAAAGCCCAATGGTGAGGGAAAGTGTTATTTGTAGATGATACAAACTGTCACTTGCTCTTTGGCTCACAAGTGGGAAGCAATTCTATTTGAAATCATATATATTAGCAAAGCTAATCTTTTGTAACAAAGTAAAAAAAAGAAAAAGAAAGTGAAACAATTCATTTCTTTTAAATTTTGATGTTTCCAATATTAATTTTTTTAAAATATATTTTATTGATTTTTCACAGAGAGGAAGGGAGAGAGATAGAGAGTTAGAAACATTAATGAGAGAGAAACATCGATCAGCTGCCTCCTGCACACCTCCTACTAGGGATGTGCCCACAACTAAGGTACATGCCCTTGACCGGAATCGAACCTGGGACCTTTGAATCCTCAGGCCGACGCTCTATCCACTGAGCCAAACCGGTTTCAACTCCAATATTAATTTTTATATTTTCTTATTCTTTCATCTTTTTAAAAAATAAGGTATAATTGACACATACATTTTAGTTTCAGGTGTACAATATTTGTAGATATTGAGAAATGATCATCATAGTAAGTCTAGTTAACATCTGCCACCATACATAGTTATAAAAAATTTTTTCCTGTGATGAGAACTTTTAAGATCTACTCTCTTAGCAACTTGGAAATATACTATATAACAGTATTAACTATAGTTGCCATGTTTTTAACTGCATCCCAATTACTTACTTTATTCCTAGAATTTTGTACCTTTTGACCTCCTCCACTCATTTTGCCCACTCTCCACCTCCTCCAATACTGATTTTTAGAAACAACTTTTGGGCCCTGGCCAAACAGCTAAGTTGGTTAGAATGCCATCCCAATTCGCCTAGATTGAGGGTTTGATCCCCAGTCAGGGTAAATACAAGAATAAACCAATGATTCTTCCTCAAATCAATAAACAACTTTTGGGATGGACTGTCAACAAATCTCTGAATTTTCTTGTAAAAACTTTCCCAGTATTCTATATGATAAAAACAGCAGTAATGCTAAAGGATAGAACATGAAACGTAGAAATAATCTTTTGGGGGATGATGGCTGAAAAATCAGCTACCATGTTTGGTTGGGATAGCTCACCTTTGTTTCTTTGAACTGGAAATCTTTAAGCTCCTGAACAACCACAAATAAATTATCAACTGATCTCAGACGATGAACCTGGTGAGGAAAATAATATTAGAAACAAATTTCTGAGAAAGCATTTGAATCACACAAACTATTGACATTTAAATATAAAAATTATGTACAAAGACTTTAAAGCACCTAATAGAGCAATCCCTTCTCATCTGTGGTTTCAGTTATCTGTGGTCAACCACTGTCCGAAAATATTACATGGAAAATTCTAGAAATAAAGGATTGAGTTTTAAATTGCACACTGTTCTGAGTAGCTTGATGAAATCTCATGCTGTCCCACCTAAAAAATGAATCATCCCCTTTGTCCAGTGTATCCAGAGTGTATACGCTAACCACCCATTAGTCACTTAGTGCCATGTCATGGTATCATAGTGCTTGTGTTCAAGTATCCATTATTTTACTTAAGAATGGCCCAAAAGTGTTAGAGTAGTGATGCTAGAAATTTGAATATGCCCAAGAGAAGCAGTAAAGTGTTTCCTTTAAGTGAAAAGGTGAAAGTTCCTGACTGAATAAGGAAAGAAAAAAACTGTATGCTGAGGTTGCTAAGATATATGGCAAAAATCAATCTTATATCCATGAAATCACCTAATTCATAAATTAAACTTTGTCATAAGTATGAATATATAGGAAACAACATAGTATATATATAGGATTCTGGGGGTTTTGAAAAGTCTCTCCATGGATTGGGGGGAGGGGGGGGGTGTCTACTGTGCCTATAATTTGTATTTAAATTTTTTTCCATTTACCCAGTCTCCCATCTTTTTGGTTATCTAACATTTTCTATTCCTCTAGAGAAAAGGAAGGACAGATGAAAGAATAGAAGCTTAGTGCGTTATGTGAGCAACACAGGTTTGGGGGAGAAGGGAAATACAGACAGTCAAGAGAAGCTTTATCATATTTCCCTCATAGCTCTCTGGGGTACACTGTATATTGGGGTTAAGAGCATAGGGCTTGAGCTCCAGCTCTATGATTACTAGCTGAGCAACCCTGGGCAGATTACGTATTACTAGGCCTAATGACTAATGAAGATAATCATGCCTATCTTCACAAAGCTATTGAGGTTATTAACTAAAATACTGAGTGGAAAATACCTGCTTACCAATTCATCCCACACATTTGGGGGTGTGGGATTTCTACTATATGCTAGACCAGGGGTGGGCAAACTTTTTGACTCGAGGGCCACAATGGGTTCTTAAACTGGACCGGAGGGCCGGAACAAAAGCATGGATGGAGTGTTTGTGTGAACTAATATAAATTCAAAGTAAACATCATTACATAAAAGGGTACAGTCTTTTTTTTAGTTTTATTCATTTCAAACAGGCCGGATTCGGCCCGCGGGCCATAGTTTGCCCACGGCTGTGCTAGACACTAACAGCTTGGGAGACTTAAAAAATAAAAATAAAAAAGGCAATCCCTGTCCTCATGTTGCTTAAGTGGTAATGAGATATAGCTTAGCTGTTTTATTCTAGTGGGATGGCAGTTTGCTGACCTTCACTTTTCACCTGCAGTGATTCCTAATTACTTTTGAACAAGTATTTTTTAATACAGATTTAAAAAAAAAATCTCTCCTTTTATGCTTCACCCCCAAAATCTAAACCTCAGCTAGATGCTAAAGTAAATTCAAAGATGTATAACAGATATCCAGAATTTCTTCAGGTACATGAAATTCTCCTGGTGAATTCATCCTCAGGAAATACTAGTATCACTTCTAAAAGTGTAACAAACCTACCAGTCAATCTTACAAATCAGTACCCAATACAAAATACAATAGGAAATACCCATAAAATGATTTATTTAGAAAACTATTTTAAATATTGCTTCATTCAAACCTGAGCCAGACTTTCCACTGAAATGTCAAAATATATCTTGCCCCGATCTTTGCTGATTTTGCATGATGATCTCAATTTCTCTCTCACTTCATCTGCAGCTACTTGCTCAAAACCAGTAGGTACAGTGGCTCCAATAGTGACTCGAAGATGCTCGGACTCACTTCTGGGGACACTTTCTGTCACGTGTATATATCTCTGGTTCTCATGAAGGTTCACATGCAAAAGTTGGTTAGTGGCTTCTTGAACATCAGACATGTTGGCAATGCTTCCAAAATTCTTGATCCAGTCCCTTCAAAAGCAGTACAGAAAAGAAAAAAATAATCTCCAAACATTATCACCTCATATATCAACTATAAATAAAAACATCTATTTTGGAGGGCTAGAAGAACAAGGCAACACAACTGATATAGCCATATTCAGTCAACAATGCCTGAATCAGTATTCACTAAAGATAAAAGGGTTGAATAACATGGGCATAGATGTAAAATATATTATTAAATAAGCAATATAGATACTATGGGGGGAAAAGAAGAAAGACAAATAAAAGAATTTTCACAGCACACAATGTTTGGTTTGGGATCATCTATGTTGATAATAGCCACCTCATAACTATAATAGTTAACACTCCAAAAACAGAGGCTACTAGAGCGCATTTCAATACATTTCTGCATCTTGGCCTTTTTTAGATAGTAGTTAAGAACATGGGAACTGGAATTTCAGACATAGATTTGACTTCTTGTCCTCACCATTCATAGGCTGAATGACATAAAACAACAGTTTATTTTCCTATGCCTCAATTTCCTCATCTGCAAAATGGGAATTAAAGAATATCTTCCTCTAGAGTTGTTGGGAGACTTAATTGAGAATAGCATACTTACAGGCCCATAATTAAAACTTGCTAATAGGATATCTATCTTCCTCCTGTGAAGGAGATAGTGATTCATGCGTTTAAAAATGATAAACTGAACTTCACTGACTACACATATTTTAGTGCCTATTACTGACCAGGCTCCGGAACCCATGACTGGGCATCAAGAGAGAGCTGTGAAATATCTGAAATAGTAAGCCAAATTCCCAGTACCTGAGCATGGGTGGGGTTGGGGTTAGAGAGGTGGGAAGTGGAGATCAATAACTCTCACAAGATTTTTTAAGGTTTTGCAACCTAGAAGTAGGCACCGAGTACCTAGTGTCCTTGTTTCCATAAACAGGGTCAAGCGACAGTGTCTAACACTAATAAAAGTCAATTCCTGCCCTTAATGAGCTCACAATCACTGTGAATAAGACCTCCAGCTTCTAAAGAAGGAGGCTAGCACGGCCAGTGGCGGCTCTGCGGTTGAGCGCCAACCTAAGAACCGGGAGGTCACGACATATGCCCTGGTTGCTCCTCGATCCACGATCCATCATACAGGAGGCAGCTGATCAATGATTCTCTCCCTTTCTCTCTAAAATCAATAAAAAAAAATATTTTTTTAAAAAAGCTGATTGATTAAATAAATAAATAAGGAGACCCAAGTTCATAGAAGGACATATCCTGCCCAAGGTCAGGGGGCCCATCAGTGGCTCGGGCTGGAATGAAAACCGCGTCTCCGGACACCCACCCGCTGGGCCCTGGTTACAGGAATCGCGAGAGGCGGTCAAGGACAGGGAGAGACAGCGAGAAGGGCTCCACAATGACACCAGGCCGAAGTCCGGCGCGGCACCACCCCAAGGATCAAGACCCAGGCCGCCCCTCCCTCGCAAGGGTTAGCGATTTCACACCCAGCCACTCCCACCCGCCGCCCGTTTACCGGCCCGCAGCGCAGACCTTCCCGGCTCCGGCACGCCGCCGACTCAACGTGCTCAGGTCACGCCGCCGGAAGCCGACTCTCGACCACCCCGGAAGCGGAAGTCAGGCGGCGCTGGCACTGCGGCTCCGAGCGAGGGGCAGGCGCCGGCGCAAGGGTGTGGAAAGAGGCACAGGCGCATAAAGGTCTGTGCCCGGTGGCGGCCAACACGGGGTGTTCCGTTCTTGCAATTGGGGACAGCATGGCCTGCCCGCTGAACCTGTAGGACTGCGGGCCGCGTCGCGTCACATAATGGCTAGCATTTCTAGAGGGCTTATCCGTCCCAAGCATTGAGTAAGTGCTCCCAGCCGGCATTTCATTTGTTCCAACAACTACCTGACGTGGCCGTTCCCGTTTTCAAGCGGGAGACACTTAGTCTCAGAGAGGTTATTAAATATCTTGACTAAAATGTCAGGCACAGCACTTTCCAGGCAGAGCTGGGGTTTGAATTTAGAGGATGTGACCAGAATTATTGCTCTGAATATCTGAGTTGGTGTTGCTCAAGTAAGTCCCTGAGTTGTATGCAGTAGTCTCCCTCCGCCCGCCCCTCCTACACCCACACACTTACTCGTGGTTTTGTTTTCCACTCTTTTAGTTATCCTGGGCCACCGCTGGCCTGACAACATTATATGGAAAATTCCAGAAATAAACAATAATAAATTTTAAGTTGCACCCTTTTCTGAGTAGCAACTTGTACTCTCCTGCCCCGACTTGCCCAGGATATGAATCATTCCTTTGTCGAAGGTATCCACACACTACATACCATCATGAGACATTTTGAGAGAGACCACATTCGATAACTTTTATTACAGTATATTGTTATGTGTTTTTTAAAATACGTTTTTATTGATTTCAGAGAGAGAAAGGGAGAGAGAGAGATACATTGATCTTTTGTCTCCTGCACCCTCCCGGAGCCACTGGGGAACGAGCCTGCAACCCTGGTATGTGCCCTGACTGGGTATGTGCCCTGACCTGGAATGGAACCGATGGCCTCTTGGTGCATGGGAGGACGCACCGGTGCACACCAGCCAGGGCATATTGTTATATTTTATTGTTTATTGCTAATCTCTTACTATGCCTAATTAAAAAATTAAACTTTATCATAGGTATATATGCATAGGAAAATATATAGTATATGTAGGATTTGGTGCTCTCTGTGGTTTCAGGCAAATACTGGGGTCTTGGGACATATCCTCCGCAGAAAAGGGGTACTACTATATCACCTTCACTATCTTTGCCCAGTTGTGCTATTATTTAATATACTTTTAAAAATATATTTTTAACTTAAGTTATTTTAAAAGGAACCCTTAAAACTCAATAACAGAAAGATAACCCAATTTAAAAATGAATGAAGGCTTAAATATTTCTCCAAAGAATATACACATAATCACATGAAATAATCACATGAAAAGATAGTCAACATCACTAGCCATTAGAAAAATGCAAATTAAAACCACAATGAAATACCTGTTTGAGTGGCTAAATTTTTTGAAAAACGTGCATTTCCAAGTTCCAGTGAGGATGTGGAGTGATGGAACATTTATGCATTGCTGGTGGGGATGCTTTTAAAAATTGTAAAGCCACTTTGGAAAACAGATTGGCCTTTCTCAAAAAGTTAAACATGGATTGCCATATGAACCAGCATTTCTACTCAGGTGTGTATAACCAAGAGAATTGAAAATAGATGTTCAAACAAATACTTGCACAGGAACGTGTCTAACAGTATTTTTATAATAGCCCCAAAGTGGAAACAACTTAAATATCCATAAGCAAATGTGATCTATCCATGCCATGGAATGTTATCTATATATATAAAAGCCAAGTGACCAGAACAACCGGTGGCTATGATGCACATTGCAGCAGACAACCGGCCAGATCAGAGCCCCGATCAGCCACGCCCAACCTACCGCAGCCCCTCCCCACAGCTGGCCCTGCCCCCAATTGGTATCCCCCCATCCTGATTGGGGGTGGGGTCGGCCAGCCAAGTTCCTGTGTCCCCTTCCCCCTGCTGGCCCTGCCCCGATAGGCCCCCATCAGGGTGGGCCAGCCGGACCCCTCCTGTGCACCAGGCCTCTAGTGTGTATATATATATATACACACACACCTAAGCAACTGGCCAACTGACCGGTAGCTATGACATGCACTGACCACCAGGGGGCAGACGCTCAACGCACAGGCATGGAAATGTGGTGTGGTGAGAATTGTTAAATTCTGGTATATTTTGCAAGATGACCTGCCATTGATGGTTGGTTGGATGTAGATTTGAAAAGCAGGTAAAGAACAGGGAGCTTGAGGGGCAGACCCAGCAGATTTGCTGATCTGGCAGCAGTTGTCAACCTTTCGGACCTCACAGACCACCAGTGGTCCATGGACCACCGGTCGGCGACCGCTCATCTAGAGTGCTCTATCCTGCTGGGTGGTGTACACTCAAGAACCCGGACTAAAGTATTACAAAGCAAGTAAAAATGGACACATTTGCTCTTTAGAGCTCTGGTTTGTTGCAGGGTAATGGTACTTTAGCTTATACCAGAAAACCCCTGATGATATGCTGTGAAAATATTGACTAAAGTGGATCCTTGCTTGAAAATGCCAGTTTTGGATAAGTAACATATACATGTAGAAATTGAAGCCTCTAATTTCTATTTAATTTTTAAAAAATCCTCACCAGAGGATATTTTTTTGATTGTTTCTTTTTTAGACAGAGTGGAAAGGAGGGAGGGAAGGAGAGGGAGAGAGAAATGTCAGTGTGAGAGAGACACATTAATTGGTTGCTTCCCACAGGTGCCCTTACCACTGGGGTCAGAGATGGAACATGCAACCCAGGTATATGCTCTTGACCAGGAATTGAACCTGTCACCCTTCCGTGCCCAGGCTGATACTCTAACTACTAAGAAACACTGGCCAGGGCTAATTTTTAAAAAATTTTATTTATTGATTGAGAGAGAGAGAGAGAGAGAGAGAGAGAGAGAGAGAGAGAGAGAGGTATTGGGATGACACTGTAACGAACTGAGCTATCCAGCCAGGGCATAACTTATTGATTAATTTATTTTTAATATATATTTTAATTGATTTCAGAGAGGAAGGGAGAGGGAAAGAGAAATAGAAACATCAATGAGGAGAGAGAGTCATTGATCGGCTGCCCCCTGCACGCCCCACACTGGAGATTGAGCCCACAACCCAGGCATATGCCCTGACAGGTAATTGAATCTCAACCTCCTGGTTCACAGGTCAATGCTCAATCACTGAGCCACACCAGCCAGGCCCTAATTTGTTTTTAATTGGCAGTAGTGTTATATAAACAAGCAAAGAATTGAATTTGATAATTCCTGTCAGCTACAGTGATACAAATGAGGAACTACTCAGTGGTAGTTGTTCCCATGAACTCAGATAATCTATTTTACCCTAACCATTTTTTATTCTTGCCTATTCTTAAGGGTAAAACAAAGTCATGGTTAGAAAGTCCAACAGTACAGCCATTCCCCAGCCCGCCCTCTTCCTGTGCTCTTCTATAGAGGTAAGGATTATTAACCACTTCTGCCTTTGGTTCACGTGGGGATTTCCTCCCTGTCTCTAAATAACATGCTTGTAGTGCTATTTCTTGCTCTTTTAATTTTAGGGATTATTTAAATACTCTCTATGGTACTTGAGATTTAGCCTATAACATCCCCATCATCCTATTTCTCCTTCCCTTCTCCCATTAAAGTTATAACCCAGTATAATTTATTCCTCCCGATAAAATAAAATATATTAAACATTTTCTAGTTCTGTCAACTCTGGACAGCATCTCTTGACCACCCCCCCCCCCCACACACACACACAATTTAAGATGAGGGTTTTATCAGCACTCCTGGCCATTCTTTTACCTTTCCTCCCGTCTTCGTACCTCCCAATCTATATTGTTAAAAGAGCATTCCACTTGGCAGGTTGGATTTCTGTGGGGATGTAATTGAAACAAGGGATGCTTCTACATCTTCTCACTCAAGAAGCTACTGAAATTCCATCCCTTCCAAGAAAACCATTTGGGACCTCACTGGGGAAATGAGAGATGTGTCTACAGTCCTATTAAAGAAATGATAGCCTAAGTGTCCATGAACTCTTAACTCAATCAACCTTTGGCCTATTGGGAGTTAACAACTAGAAGGGAGAACAATCAGCTTTGGCCATGCCCTGAACAAGCTGAGGTTTATTTACTTTTCCCATGCCCTTTCAAGCCAAAGGTTATAAAACTGCTTAGTAATATAACTCCTGTGAGAGCTCTCCCATGGAATTGGTGACATCACAACAAATTTTCAAGAGGATGTACATGAAACTTATTGTCCACCTTGAAATTTATTGTCCACCTTGAACTTCATGTGGATAGTTGATTTAAAAGCAACTTACTCATTTTGAAAGGAACTGTTATCTTGAATGTAACTGAGATTACCAGGGCGGGGAGAAGGAAGTGAGCTGAGGAGTGAAACATCCCTGCCACCTAGTGGTTACTCATTCTGAAACACTGTAGTTCTTCCAAAGCACAGACAACCAAAAATGAATTGAGTAGTACAGGAAACATCTAGACAACGTCCTGAAACCGGGAAACATTCATTCCCTCCTCCCATGTTAGAAAGGGATGTTAGTGAACCTTTTGTAAACAGACAAAACAAGGTGTTCATGGGATTAGTCTCTCAGAGTTGCTCTCCCTTTGTGTAATCAGAAGAATTAACAGAGCACTGACAAAGGGAGAATGTTGTAGGTGAACATGGACAGCCACCAGATCTCTAGCAACAAGTAGCAGAAGGAAGCAGGGAGGGCAACAAATGAGCAAAGAGAGACGACTGTGAGGCAGGACCCTCAGTAGTGGTCAGTGCAGCAGTAGCATGGGTCCAGAAGCAAGGCCAGCAGGGACAGTGATGATTAAGTCACATAGACTCAGGACTGTTGGTTAGCAACAGCCCTGGAAACCATGGTCTTGGGACTGCAGTACTGCTTGATTGAAGGATACATAATTAACATTTATGGAGCACATACTCTATCCACGCAGTGCTTTACCTGCATTATTTCCTAAGTCCTGTGGCGTAAATACTATGAGCCCTGTTCTACAGATGATGAACTTGAAGCTAACTAGCCCAAAGTCACAGAGCTAATAAGATTTGAGCCAAGATTGGAACAAGGTGGTTTGACCCCAGGCTCTGAGCTCTTAACTGTAGTACTATGCTTTCCTGTTTCCCTCAGGAAGAGGGAATAGGAGGTTCAACCACTTTTAACTCTACGGACCTTCTTATTGAGGATGGTTGTGAATGGGACCTTGAAGGTGA